CTCCATCTCTCTCTTCTCTATCTCTCTCTCTTCTATCTCTCTATCTCTCTATCTCTCTCTCTATCTCTCTCTCTCTCATCTCCTCTCTCTCTATCTCTTCTCTCTCTATCTCTTTTCTTCTTCTTCTATCTCTCTCTCTCTATCTCTCTCCTCTATCTCTCTCTCTCTATCTCTCTCTCTCTATCTCTCTCTCTCTTTCTCTCTATCTCTCTCTCTCTATCTCTCTCTCTCTATCTCTCTCTTCTCTAATCATCTCTCTCTCTATCTCTCTCTCTCTATCTCTCTCTCTCTATCTCTCTCTTCTCTATCTACTCTCTTTTCTATCCTCTCTTTTCTAATCTCTCTCTCTCTATATCTCTCTTCCATATCTTCTCTCTCTCTATCTCTCTCTCTCTCTCTCTCTTCTCTACTCTCTCTCTCTCTCTCTCTCTCTCTCTCTCTCTCTCTCTACTCTCTCTCTCATCTCTCTCTCTCTTCTTCTTACTCTATCTAATCATATCTACTCTATTCTATTCTCTCTCTCTATCTCTCTCTCTCTATCCTCTCTCTCTCTATCTCTCTCTCTCCTATCTTCTCTCTCTCTCTCTCTTCTCCTATCTATCTACTTCTCCTCTTCTATCCTTCTCTCTCGTCTATCTCTCTCTCTCTATTCTGGTTCCTCCTCTCTCTCTCTTCTCTCTCTCTCCCTCTCTCTCTCTCTCTCTCTCTTCTCTCTACTCTCTCTCCTCTCTCTCTCTCTCTCTCTTCTCTCTCTCTCCTCTCTCTGCTATATAATATAATATATTATATTATATATAATATATATATATATATATAGTATAATATATATATATATGTATATATTATAGTATATAATATATATACTATATATATACATATATATATATATAATATAATGTATTTATATAAAACCGATATATAATGTAACTATAGTAATATATATATAGTAATATATATATATATATAATATTATAATATATATATTTATATATATTATATACTATAATATACCACATATTGTATATACCATATATATATATTATATAATATATATATATATATATATAATATAATGATATATATACATTGAATATACATATGTATATTATTATATATACATATATCATAACTATTACATATACTATATAATATATATAGTTAGTATATATATACTATTTACACCCACACAACACATTTATATTTGTTATTTAATCATTTATTTATATTAATANCTCTCTCGCTCGCTCGCTCTCGCTCTCTCTCCCTCTCCCTCTCTCTATCTCTATCTTCCCCTCTCTCTCTCCATAAAATTAAATGTACATCCTGTCACATGCATGGCCATAAGAGCAGACCCAATATTATAGAGAATAGGGATTAGGCCATGAAAGAAGTGCCGTTGATCGAACAATTCCCAATCAGTCCTCTGCCATAAAGATCTAATCGAGATGTTGCTCAAGGAAAAACGTATTGACATGAATCAGTGAGACGTGGCTCTTCCCTAGCATTAATGAATTTATTGTTCACATCCCTTCGTTTAGCATTTACCGCCAGGACCTGGGACGCGGGGGAGGAGTGTGCGTATATGCAAGGGACGATCTTAGGCCAACCGTCATTAATACAGGCATTAAGCAAGTGGAAGGTGTGGAGGATATTTGGTTAACAGTACAATGTAGGAAGTTACCATCTATCATTGTTGGATGTGTCTATCGTCACCCTCACTCTCAAATTACATCGTTTAGCTATATATCAGACTGTTTTCAGAATATTTGCATCCGCAATAAGACAGTTGTAATAATGGGGGACTTCAGTGACAATTTATTGAACTCAGTAAATAAAATGAGTAGACTAATACAAAACATGAATTTAACACAAATCATTGACAAGCCTACGAGGATTACATCAAACTCAGAAACACTGTTAGATCTAATAATCACAAATAAGCCTGAGTTAATATCAAATGCTGAGGTAATGCCAAGCCCGGTGGGAGATCACGAGGTAATATCTGCCTCTCTAAACTTAAGAAAACCAAAGCGTCAACCAGTTTATCAAACAGTTCGGTGCCTTAAGGAGTACAATCAAAATGATTTTTGCAACCTACTATTAGAACGTGTCCCTATTCTTAATAATATTTTATGGACTGATAATGTTAACTCACAGGTCACTATCTTAAATAATGTTTTAATGAATGCATGAATGTATGTGCTCCTTTTATTACAAAGAAAATAACTCGCCTCCAGCTCCATGGATCACTAATAATGTTAAAACTGCCATGGCAGTTAGAGATGTACTTAGAGAAAGGATTCATAATATTGGCACCGATATGGTCTTGCGGGAAAACTATAAAATTGAAAAGAAACGTGTGAGATTACTGATTGATGCAAACAAAAAGCAGTACTAAAAAAGAGAACTACAAAATAGCAGAAGTAATATGAAAGCAACATGGTTCCAGATAGTAAGAGCATCTCAAGGAAAACAAATAATAACAATTATTTAAAAGAGATGGTGGAGAACTTCAATAACTTTTTTGCTAATGTTGGTAAGGAGGCTTATGAAAAATCCAGAGAAAATCTTCCTGTGCAAGAGAGTGAAGAGATTATTACTAATGCTAATGATGAAATTCAAAACGCTAACATTTTTAGACTAAATCCTGTTGACTGTAATACTGTTATTTTATCTGTAAAATCACTAAAAGAAAGTAACTTATGGTTCTGATGGAATTTCCTATCGGTTTATAAAAGATTCATTGCCAGTAATTGTCTTCTATATCATGGTTATCCTAAATACTTCAATAGTCATGAACACGTTCCCTGACTCTTGGAAACTATCATGTGATTCCCCTACATAAAGGTTGTAATAAAGATAACGTAAGTAATTATCGACCCATTTCCCTCTTGCCAATATTCTACGAAGTATTAAAGAAAATTGTTGCCAATCAGTTAATAACTTTCTTGGAATCCCAAAGATTGCTTTATCTATGAGTTAGTATGATTCCGTCAAAGCTTTCGACTGAAACTGCACTTATGAAGGTTAGCGATAAAATATATAACATAAACAAGAAAAAGTTATCTCTTCTCATACTGCTAGATTTATCAAAGGCCTTTGATAGTGTGAACCACAACATACTAATGAAAACAATTAAGAAATTGAATATTGATCCCGTTTGGTTTAGTGATTATCTAAAAAACTGATCACAATCGGTAAGAATTGGCAATGCTATCTCTAGTGAAAGAATAGTGCACTCTGGTATTCCTTAGGGTTCAATTTTTAGGTCCAATAATGTTTTCCAGATATGTTAATGACCGATCACAATGCTTATCTGATTATTTTGTTATTCAGAGTGCTGATGATAGTTGCTTCTTACTGGAGACGATAACATTTCAGAATTGATTGCCGAAGCAGAAAATGTATTATCAATTGTAAAGTTATACAATTGGGCTATTATTAAATGAAAATAAAACCCAATGTATTTTTATTGGTTCTCGACATTGCTTATCTGTTATCAAAAGATATTTCTATAAATTTTAATGGTAACCAAATTATACCCAAGACAGTGGTGAAAAATCTTGGAGTATATTTTGACAATTATATGATTTTTAACTCGCATATTGATGAAATATATAAAAAAGTAACTGGTACTCTAATGTATCTTAATAGAATACGGGATAGTTTTGATACCCCAACACGGGTGATGGTTGTGCAATCACTAGCTCTAAGTATGATTAACTATTGTTCCATAATTTGGGGAGCCACAACAAAGGAACAAATGGAAAGAATCCAGAAACTTCCAAACTTTGCAGCAAAGGTCGCGATCGGAGGCTTACGTAGATACGATCATGTATCCCCCGCCTTAAACAATTAGAATGGTTAAAGGTACAATATAAATATCGATACGACATATGTATCTTTATCTTTAAAATCTTGTATCATCATCAGTAACCGAACAGTAACAGTAACGAGACAATGCGACAATCTCTATATACCAAAAATGAATACAAATGCTAGCACAAAAATTATAACGGTGAGGGGACCACAGGTCTGGAATCAGATTCCAACTGAGATGAGAAATACAGCCTCTCTTTCTAAATTCAAAGACAGATTAAAGAAATTTATGCTATGTGATTTTAATGTTTAATCAGTCTATTATGCTAGGAAATCATACGTAATATATTAATGTTTTATGAGTGATATCTACATAAATATATCGATGTTATACCAAGGAACATGCAAATAGTCAGCCCAATATCGTATATATCTACATTTATGACCAATGTATGTAATATATATTTTATATTAGTTATAATAATTTTAGTAATTCTATTGAAAGTATTGTATTTTGATACATTTGTTATTTTTATGTATATCTCTGTATTTTTAATTATTCTGTGTGTTTGAATACCCAATGTAAATTGGAAAATAAAGTTTTTTTTATTATTATTATTTCTCTCTTCCTTTCATTCTCTTCTTTTCTGTCTCTCACCCCCCCCCTCTCTCTCTCTTTCTCTTCTCTGCTTTCTCTCTCTCTCTTCTCTGTCTTCTCTCACTCCCTTTCTCCCTCTCTCTTTCTCTCTTTTCATTCCTCTCTCTTTCATTCCTCTTTCTTCTCCTTTCTGTCTTTTCTCTTCTCCTCTCTGTCTTCTCTCTTCTCCTTTCTGTCCTCTCTCTCTCTCTTTTCTCACTCCTCTTTTTTTCTCACTCTTTTTCTCACTCTTTCTCTCTCTTCTCACACTTTCTGTCTCTTCTCACTATCTCTGTCTCTTCTCTCTCTCTCTCTCTCTCTCTCTCTCTCTCTCTCTCTCTCTCTCTCTCTCTCTCTCTCTCTCTCTCTCTCTCTCTCTCTTCCCTCCCTCCCTTCCTCCTGTCCTTTCTCCCACTCTCTCTCCCTCACTCCCTTTCCCCCTTTCCTCTACTTTCTTTTTATTTTCCCTCTCCTTTCCTCCCCCTTTTCCCAGATCCCTTTTCTCTTACTTATTTAACAATAACATTTCTCTTCTCCCAACAGTGGAAGATACTATCACAACTTTCGAGGAAGACATGGACGACCCCTTCGAGCAGCTCATGGCAAGAAGAGAGCCGAGGAAAATGAGCGTTAAGGCAAGTATAAAAATGAATATGAAAAAGATGCTATATATTTCCACATTTTCTAGTCTCCCCTACCCCACCCACTCATTCCTTTGATTTATTTACACTAGCTTCTTTCGTGCTTAATCCCTTTAGGATGATGGACCTTCAACTTCTTTTGTAAGGAGAGGTTCCGACGAGGGTAGTAGCCCGAGACATAGTAGCCCCAGACGCAGTAGCCCGAGACATAGTAGCCCCAGACGCAGTAGCCCGGAAAGTAGCCCCAGACGCAGTAGCCCGAGACATAGTAGCCCCAGACGCAGTAGCCCGAGCCATAGTAGCCCCAGACGCAGTAGCCCGAGACGTGGAAACCCCTTGAACCGCAGCGCAAGCTACCTGCCACCTCGAGCGTCATTCGCCTCGACTTGGCGGGAAAGTGAAAATGCTTGGCAGGTCGGTGGTGGCCATTTCTTTGAAAGGCCTCGAGGAAGAGGGAGGAGCTTGAGTTATGGGAGAGGTGCTCGACGACAGCCGCAGGAGCCGAGCCCGTTTCCTCCTCGAGGATCCGGAGGGGGTCAGAGGCGGAGCGTCAGCCCCTACTTGTTGGTAGATTGCCTTATTGAATACCCCAATTTTCGTAGCAGCCTTCTTAATCTTATGGAGGAGAAGGAACTGCCCCCTAAAAATGTAAGGGAAACTACTCTAACTTACTCACAAGTTTTTTCCCTTGAAGGAGAAGAGGTAGTGCTCCGACCCAGGGTTGGTGTCTGCGCCACACATTCAGGGCCAAATGGATGCGAAAACCGGCCAACATGCAATGACCTTCATATTTGCCCTAAATATTTATTAAGCTGGTGCAAGGACAATAACTGTATTCTAGGGCACAGGTGGCAAACAGATCACAACAGGCGCATTCTCCAACAGTTTTACATTGATCGCTTGCCTTTTAGGAATCTTCGTACTTTAATCCAAAGACTGACTAAAGCTAAAGGACCAGTTGGCCAACTAAGCATCTGTCAAGAATATAACAGAGGAGGGTGCAACAAGAATAGTTGTGTCGCTCTTCATGTTTGTCACAGTTTCATCACAGGTTTGGCTCGTTGTTCTGTGACTGGCTGCCAGCTGAACCACAATCTTCAGACGCCAGAGTGCTCCCATCTGCTTACAGCTCATGGATTCTCCATAAATGAAGCCCCACGTGACATAACTGGAGCTCTCCTCGCTGCATATCCATTTTTGTCACAGGGAAATAAATCAGTTGGTGTAAGGAAGTCAGATTCTGATGCAACGAATGGGAACATCACTAACAATGGTCAAAAGGCCACATATGTAACAAATGGCAGCACTATTACCAGAACTCAAGACACTATTTCTTCCAACAAAATGGATAAGGCTAAACCGAAAAACGGTAAAAGCAGTAAAGACGATATTAGCAACCGTGATCATGGCAGTGGTACATCAAATGTCCAAAGCTCAAGGGCTGTGAAACCCAAAACAACAAATCAGGTGCCTAAGGCTACCAGTATTAAAGAAGACAAGCAGACAACTCAATGGACACATCATCTGTATGGCAACACAGAGATAAATGAGCTGTGCTTCTACTCAGTTGAGAGTGTGTGCCGCTATGAAAGTAGTTGTTGTAAACGTCTCCATTCTGCATATCACTACCATTGGCAAGTAAGTGAAGATGGTATCAAATGGCTGAACCTACGGCACACCCAAGTGAAGCAGTTAGAAGTATCATATTGTAATCCAGATGAAATTAGTGTGGATCTTCCACGACTAGATCCTGCAGACCTTGACACATCGACCAAGTATCTCCTCACAGTGATGGGACGGGACAGTTGGAAGGCAAATTTTCAGGCTATGATTATCACTAATTCCACACAATCCAAGTTACTTCATATGCGAAGGTTATGCACGGAGAGGATTGACGGTCACGTTATAGATGAGAACATTTATAGCTGGTATTTCCTGGATAAGAACAAAAAGTGGGTCATGTATGGAAAGGTTGACACTGCAGGAGAGAAGAACCTCGTCAGCAGCATCACATCAGATGACATAGAAAAACATTACCATCAGACACAAGCTTCCCTCACCTTCAGAAATGCAAGGTTTACATACATTCTGAATTTTGCCTCAATGACTCAGACCAATCAGCAAACCAGTGTTAGTCGTGAAGTGTGTCGCCGCCCAAAGCCACACATCAAAATTAAATCAGCAGATTCTACAACATCCAATTCCAACACTGGAAGTGGCTCTACAAGTGATTTACCATCCACTTGGGAGCCAATGCAGCCTCAGGAGAGAGTACGCCTTGTAGATCTTTCTCCAACATCATCTGAATACCAAGCAGTTTTATCACTTTTGAAGGGACAGATCCAACAAGCTAATATACAGAAAATCCAACGAATCCAGAACCCTTACCTCTGGCGAGCATTC